TGGTAGGCAGAAATATATATGGAGAATAAGGGATAATTTTTTTCTAGCTTTTATTTGTTTTTAAGAGGTTTTTTTTTTAAAAAAAGTTGTGCTATGGCAAGATGGTAGACATAGAAATCAAATCAATAAGGAAATAATAAATGTATAAATGCTATGAACTGGTTTATTATAGGTCTCAAAAACTGCCTTTTAAGTTAAAAACCTAATGAAACCTATTTTTGTTTAGCAACAAAAATAGCAGTACAATACAAAATAACAAGCATAAAAGGACTCAAAATGAGCGTTCAAGTTTCTTTCCCCTTTGTTGAGGTTTCTGAAAATTTTATTTTTTATTATGAGAGCAAACCAAGCTATCTGCAAATATTTAGCTTTTCTGCAAATTCACAACTTCTGGAACCTTGTAGAACTTAAGAAAATATAAAACAATGCAATTTGCTTTTGTACTCTGGTAATAAAAAATACCAAATTTGATGCTCATGCAAACACGTGAAATGACTCTTTTTGCTCATTCCAAGCAAGCTAATTCACTGCAATTTTTTACTAAGAGTTTTTAAATTAATCACACATTTCTTTTTAATGTATGATTAATTTAAAAACTCTTAGTAAAAAATTGCAGTGAATTAGTTTGCTTGGAATGAGCAAAAATATCACTAATTTTAATGCGCCAAGGTCACTAATATAGGGAAAAACTAATCCACGGGAACTAGAAATTAGTTCATACTTGATATGACAATCTTGTTGCACCCACTTAATATATTTAGCTTTAATAAATCTGAAAGGAATATTTGGTTTCTCAGGTGTGTAAATAGTTTAGATAGACTTATGTAGGAGATACATTTAGTTTTTATCCAATACATTTTTAAAATACTGGCTTTCTTTTTCAATTTCATATGTTCTCAGAGCACATATAATGCAGCATATACCATGAAACTCCTCTGAATCAAACCATAATAAATATTGTTTCTTAGAACCAAATGGCCTAATTTTAATAATGGCTGAAATCTTACATCCCTTGCCTTATCTACCCCAGGACTCGAAAAATTTCTATAATCAAAACTACCTATGGCTGATAAAAATTGTACAAGCATGCCCATTGTAGAAACAAACCCAACATACTTAATTCATTCCAACGAACCCCCTATTCAATTGTAACAGACAGGCTTTAATTTTATTGTTGTAGACTTTTTTCAAAACTTTTCCCATTATTCTTAGAATGTCTGCATTTCACTTCATAATATGTCCATATTCCTGTTTAAATCATTTCCTTTACTTCTACTGCAATGAAAAAAATGGTTTTTTAAGCCTAGTGCATAGGAATTAAAACTGCAATCTATGTTAATGTACAAAAGAGAAAGAGATGCCCATGAGTGCATGTAAGGACAGAATCTAAAAATTGTTAGAAAAGGAAATTAGACAATGGATGAGATGAAGAATATTCTAGAATATTAGTCAAGGAGATACATGAAGTATACCATGGGAAGACTCATATTCTTTAATGAAGAACACTGGAAAGAAACTTATTCAGAGACAGGAAGAGATGTAGATTACATCCATTACTGATGGATATTGATTGAATATGCCACCAACAATATGAAGGGTATACATATAAAATCTCCCAAAGTAGCAAGTCGCTGTTTCATTTCACTTATAGTTTAAAATTTAGCATTATAGGAGAAAAAAATGGAGCGATATGCACTCATCAAAAGGACAAAATGTAAGTGCTGCATTTACGCCTACTTGACTCAATCGATATAAACAAAACAGTATAAAAAGACAAATGGATGACCACTTATCTTTCCAGCAGGAGTTTACTGAGCAGCTCACATCCTTCAAAAACTTACATGCAAATAAAACTATAAAGTTAACTTCAGTGAAAGACATCCTCAGAAATTTGAATGAGAAATGGTTCTGGTAGGCTAGATAGAGTTAAGTATGTTTAAAAATCACATTAGCTTTCAAAATATTCTCCCATGAAAAGTGCTAAATTGAGCAGGGCTAAGAGAAGCAAAAACATTTTTCCAACAATAAACTCAACTCAACATGTAGTGGTTTTGTTCATTACTATACACTGAAGTCAAAACTAAGAATTGCCCAGCCCAAACAAGGACACAGAGTTCAGCTGATTTCCAGACAATGTCTGCTTATTCAGGAAAATACTACCAGACAATCTGAGATGACTTTTTACTAACTCACTTCATATGCAGCCTGACTATCACCAGTAAGGTCCAAAATAAATATAGTTTACTACATTATATGATGGAAGGCAATGAAGGACGTTTCTAGAAAAAGTTGGGTGTGCGCATAACTAAAAATTCCAGAATACTGACTCATTATCAAAAAAAAAAATTCTGAATTGAACTGTTAGTGAGATTTACCAATCTCAGTTCATCAGCCATTTGCCAAACCTCTCCTAGATTTGAGGAAAAATAACATTTCTGTTCAAATTCACTCTTTCTACTAAGAATACATACCCTCATCCCAACCACAAGATTAGTTCTCCAACTGGAAAATAATAAGAAAGCAATTTTATTAATGACTTATTCACTCCCCCATTTTAGCAGCTAAATGGTGAGTCATTTTGGCAACACTGGAATATACACAAGTTGTCTGTTTTACAGCCACTGCTGTTCATTTATTGTTAAATATTTATCCTACACAATGATGCTTGAAAGGATTCTGTGGACCTGTTTGTACAGATTTTGAAGCAACTGGATCAGATCAAAAAAAGAAGACGGGACCCAGCCAAGCCTGTCTTTACATGCAGGTGTTGTCACAGAGATGTTCCTCAGCCTGACTTTTGCCACATACTCAAGATCACACCCTTAAACTCATTATTAATCCAGAGTAAACACCACTCCTTGGTTTCAGCCTCATGATCACCAGTACAGATTACAACTTCATTTCATAGATAAACATGCATGAAGGGAAATGATGACACAGAGGAAAAGTCTATCTTAGCCATTTTTAATGTTGCCAAAAGCGAAACTACTTTAGGTGATCTTATGACTGTAGTCAAATAAATATTCATCGCCTCTGTGATATTTTAATCTTTTGTACAACTTCCATGTATAGAAACCCGCCCCTCCAAAGACCCCTGAAATTTCAGCCTATCAGAAACTACCGAGATGTCAGGAATTAAACAAACTACAGTCCAAAGTATATGTTCATGGTCAGGCTGGCTGGAATTTAAAGGAATGCAGGAAAAAAATATCTGAAGAATACAGAATACCAGATTGACTATCCCACCTTTACTGTATTGTCAAGGTAAAAAATATTAATTTGAAGCTGTTGATGGTCTTCCAGTTACATTCCCTTGCTCTACCACTAAATGATGGCTTCTTTGGGGAGTAGCTTTTGTTGCTTTTGGATGAATGTGAAGATCCCATCTCATATCTAGTTTCATAGCATGGAGTCAGAGTAGGGGAGAGGGTTGAGTTCATATGGTACAGTATTCCTTTCTAGGAAGTTGGCCAGAAAGGAGGAAGGGAAGAAAAATGGTGATATGACAACAGGTCTTACAAAATAAGAGGACTGCAAAGTAATAAAGTCTTTGCTCCCAACTACCAGAAACAAAGCTGCTTAAAACCAGATTTCACCACTGGACTTTCAACCTTTAGGTCCATTGGCATCTTTGTGCATCCCATTTCTGAATAAGAGCAAAAAAGACAGTTGGGTCTGAAGAAATGGTTCCCAGAATGAACCAAATAATATTGTAATGGGCATTTTATTTTGAAAGTAATAAGGGAAATTGCTGAAAATTCAAAAGCTTCACTTGCTATACCACTAAGAAGAATCTAGCCTATATAGAATTTTATATCCGCTAATAAGCCAATGCCTATCTTTAATAGCGTAACATAATCCATTTCCTGCTATTCTGAAATTTTCAGAGTGAAGACATTTAAATAACTGTTTTTTTTCCAGAAATATACCTTATTGTTTGAGTAACTAGTTACATTGAAAAACATCTCCCCACCACACACATTCCCACTGCTTTATCCCTTCCTTCCCCTCCCCCAACATCCTGTGCAATAGAAGCCTGTTTCCCTTGACGGATTTCTAAGGACATCTGAAAAGATAATGTCAGCTTTTGTTTACTTCATTTTCACATTTAAGATTTGAGAATAATACCAGGATAAGTATTTAAAGCAACCTGCAGTAAATCTTGTTAGCAGCAATGGAAGAGTGCATTCTGTAGGCCTTACAACAACAAAAAAGCGAAAGGCAAAAAAAAAAACCACCCTTAAACAACCACTTTATTTATAAAAAGGTGGAATGGATAATTTTATTCTTGCAAAAATTTATGTTTGAGCAAAAGGGGTCACATTTCTTATTGAAGATAAAACTGTTCTTAGAAGAATTAAGGAGCAAAGCTACTAAAACAATAGTGATCCTGCTGAGCAATAAAAAAACAATAAGAAAAAAGTTCTTGCTGCACTTTTAATTACTATTTGTCATTTGGTGTCAATGGTTCCTCTTTGGTCTCAGTTCAAAACAGGGACTAAGTAAACCATAGCTGGCTGTAAACAAAGAACTGGGGATGACTAGACAGCTAAGAAACCGGCCTTTACCTGAAGTGGACTACTAATTCCTTGATGCTCTTTGATACAGCACCCAGTACTGACCTGGCCAAAAATATTTCGCTGCCAGGGCAAAAGAAAGCTTAGTAATTTAAGAAATGTTTTTATTTTGTTTTTATTTAAAAAAAACATTCAAAGTAATAATCTCTTCTATTTCACTTAAACTGATTATGTGACAATATCCACCACCTCAAATGAAAGCATTACACTATCTGGACAGGTAGCAGGATAGGTTCTAGGCTGCCCATAATAATGTACCCCAGAAGAAGGGAAAGGTAGGGGCTGCTTCAGGACCCCTCCCATCCACCATCTGAAAAAAAAAACGCTTGACTAATAATGAGGTCAGTCCTGTCAAATGAACTAGTTGTATTTTGCAGTCAAGAAGAAAGCTGCATTTAAGTGTGAAGCAATGTTCCTACTTACCCTGATCTCATTGCGTCGGATCTCCACGTCACATACTGAGTGCCCTTGGTGTGCACCACTGTAGTAGCAACAGAACTGGCAAACAGCAACCTGTTCAGCTTCGCAATGATACAGTCGGTAAGCATTGTGCTGGGGGCAACTCCAAGCCCTGACGTCATCCGCCTCCACCAGGAGGTGTCCACGTGCTGTAGAGGGCTGTTGCAGGTGTGTCTGAACGTGGGATTGGCAGCATGGAGCTTCACACCTTAGACAGATCTTCTGTGCAGGCAAAGGTGGCCCACGGCGGCAGAAGACACAGTGTAAGACAGAGGGAGTCTTTTCCAAATTAAGAGAGTTGAATTTCTCCACAATGTTGGTCAATTTTAAGTTCTTTTCAAGGTTGGGCTTCTGGTTGTAGGCCTGATTACACTCAGGGCAACGCACTAGCCCCGACTCTTTGGCCCAAGCCTCTCCTATGCATCCCCTACAAAAATTGTGCTTACAAGGAAGTTGGACAGGTTCCACAAAGACATGCAGACAGATAGGACATATAAGCTCCTCTTCAAAACAGTTCTTCCAGTTTTCAGCCATGTCTCACCCAGATCAGAACTTTCCTTTTAATCTCTTTAAACAGTCAGTTTTTGGTCTACTAAAGCAGATGATGACGAGTTTCCACTTTTGCAACAGAAAGGCCACTAAGTTGCTAATGAACCAAAAAATTAAGAATGAAATTAATGTAGATCTCCTAAAATTTAAAGTAATATATTCCCAACAAGCCCACTTTTATTAAATATAATTAACAATCAGTACTAAAATTGCAGAATAGTTTTAAAGTTTAAAGCCAAACTTTCTTAATTCTTATAAGGTTTTTACTTCTGATTCTGAAAAGCAAAAGTAAAACTTACCGAGAATTGAAAAAACTCCATACAAAATCCAAAAGGAAGTCCAAATGCCATATAAATCTCCTATATTAAATACTCCTAATTACCACTTTTTGACCATTTAATATCTGAAAGGAATTTGTATCCCTCGTGACTAAATTCAAGCGTCCCTTTTCAATTATTTTTCCTCCGTAAGAAATTAGTATTTGAGTCTTTAATTGAATCATTCAAAAGCTGGAGATAAATCCATATGCAAAGGGCAGGAGGAGGAGCTAGTTTTCTAATGCAGCTGAATGGTGCAAAAGGATTTTTTTTTCCTTGGCTTTGGGACAGTGCAATCGCAGAAGGAAGACGGTCAATCACTCAGATGAAATTCCAGCCCAGAGCCAAAAGGACCCTCCCATTCTTTGCTCTTTTTACAAATAGGAATGAGAAGAAGAAAAATACTTTTAAAATGTCTACTCTGAAGAACAGTAATAATCAAATTCAATGGAAAAACAACCTATTCTAATATTCTGTGGAATTCTGTTTTCAAGATTTGCCTTGTTTTTAATCTTTCATAAGACTAAGGTGAAAACAATACTCCCAACTCCAAAATCCTCAGCCTTTTGAAGAGTGATGGTTTGCTCTCGCTGGAAGGAAAACAAGTATGCCTTGATCAAACTGAAAAGGAATTTCTCAAGTGCTAATGAAAAGCCCAGACCCCGCCTCTTCCCCTTTGCTTCTCTGTTTTCCCTTCTGACATGAAAGCTATTTCTCCTTTTGGAACCAGCCTGCAAGGGGGTGGGAGAAGAGGAAGACAGACGAGCTGGAAGGGAACTGCTGAAATGTACAATTCCAAGAGGACCTACTCAGTCCTCAGCCATTTTGAGTTGATTTTATTTTTAATTTGAAGGATTTAGGGGAGACAAATAGAAACAACCGTGCAAAAGACAAGGGAGGGGAGCTGGTGAATGGCACCACCCTGCAAAGTGTGTCCTGATGGGGGAAAGAGAGAGAAAGGCATACAGGGAGGAGAAGGGGAGAAGCGGAGTGTTCTAAATTGGGTTTATATAGCTGCAGCTGCTGTGTCTTTTAGTTTTTATTATCAGATCAAAGAAACCCCTACATACTCCTTGCAATCATCTCCAGCCATCTTGGGTCCCTTCAGTCCCCCTTTTAAGTAAAAATGTATTTTTAAAAAAATATCTATCGACCCCTCTCTTCAGCACCTCTCTTCTTCGGCTCCCACCCTCAGTCACAACAGAATGAGCTAGCAGACTAATGGATCGGACCCGTGTCACATAAAAAAAGAAACAACAGGAAACCCAGCCACGATTTCAGCCCCTAACAAGAAAAATTAAACCGGGGGAGTGGGGAAGAGGGTACTATCACCACACTATCGCACACAACAAGGACAAGAAAGAATATGGGAATTCCGGAAGAGAAAAATAGGGTGATAAATTAAAAAGCAGGTCCATTTATCGATTAGGATCCAGTACAGAAAGCCTACATGGATTTTCAAAAATCTTTTCCCCATTCAAGGCAGAGAAGTGATGAATCTAAGCTAATTAAGAAGCTCTGCCTGCTTCGCAAAGATACACACACACACACCCCAATTAAGCCCTAACCACCTTCTCCCCCCTTCCCCTTTAAGATTTGCAATACGAAGCAGGTCCGAAGTAGGGAGTGGATGGCCCAATAAAAATCAAATTAAATGAAGTATGCTGAGCAGATCGAAAGGGTCGCTATCAAGGTGAAAGGGAGCAGGCGTCGGAAACGGGCAGAGATGCTGCTGCCTCTTCCCCTCCGCTTCTCCTGGGATGGCGAAGGCGCCTTTAGGATCGAGGTGAACGAAAGGAAGAACCGGAGTATGAAGGAACTCAAGGGCGGAAAGATGACTAAAGATCAAGGGCGCATCGCAGGACTTCCCTCCCCTCCCCCCGGCTCGAATTTAAAGGAACAGGAGCTCAATCCGAACCCAGCTTCTCGGTTATCCAGCGGCAGGGCCCCTTTAACGCGCGATTGTCAATCGATCGATCGATCAATCGACTCCGATGAATAACAAGCGTGGAGCCTCCAGAAGCGCAAGGACAAAAAAAAACGGGGGGGGGGGGGGAATCGCCGCGCAGTCCGGAGAAAGCCGCTGTCCCAGCTCGGGCCCTCGCCTGGATTCAATCCCTCCTTCCTGCCCTGTTTGCGCCCACTCTAGCCGCAGTCAGCGCCAGCCATTCGCTCCCCAGCTCGGTAGACCTTCGACGGCGACGATGGCGGCTGGCGCTACTCCTGCTGCTGCCGCCGCCGCGCTGCTCCTCAACCCCTTCTCCAGGGCCTCACGTGACCGCCACAATTTGATACATTAAACACAACGCGTCCGGCCTCTCTTAAAGGGGCAACGGCGGCTCCGGCTTTTGGTCGGCCTTGCAGGCCTCTCGCGCCTGACTTCTCCCCGCCTTCCTACGGTACTTACTGAGCGAGTGGGGACCGCTAGGAGGCCCGTTGCCGTTCCTGAGGAGAGCCAGCCATTGCTGAGCTCCCTTCTCTTCGCTTGCCTTTGCTGGATGTCACGGTATGACTGAGTCATAGTGGGCTGCTCCCGCCAGCCTCAAAGGGAGGGGAAGAGCCTGGCTGGAGCTGCCAATTGAATAGGCGCAGGAGGCTTGCTTTCTTCCCGGTGCCGGCAGCAGGGCGTCCCAGCTGGCCTTATCCGGGGTGGCACAGATAAAGGGAAGGGCTCGCTGGGATCCCTGAGGCTTTGAGCCTTGGTTAAGCGATGCCGGGTGTGTGTGTGTGTGAAACGGGATGGCTTTGCTTGCCAATCGGGGTCTTTTTAGCCCTGCTGCCCGTGGCCTTTGAAAAGGAATGGGATGTTGTATCTGCTTGCCAATATAAGCTTTTTTTTTTCTGATCGAAGCACCGCTTGGTTTTTGTACACTGTTGGGGTCATTACCACTGCTAAAAATACCAGGTGAACAAAGAAAAAAGACACCTTACCTACAATATTAAAACTTGCTGCTGATGCCCCGTCCTGGAAGTCCTTCAAACGGAGTAGGGTATTTTAAATTCAACACTGCTGTGCTATCGCTTCTGGTTCATAGAAGTCATGATCTTTTATGTTATTCCATTATTTAGCTTTGATGTATTGCCATCATTGAGCCCGATCCTGGCAATACAATGATATCCTAGAAATGGATGTGGGAGAGGTTGCCAAAGTTCAAAAATCACTGGATTTCCATGATTGTAGTTCACTTGTTATAGAACAGATATGAAACTGAATAGGAATCAAAAGAATGTGCCCTCTTAGTAAACGGACAGTTTGAATGGAAAAGGTTATCACAATTCATTACCTGAGGATATGTTGTTCCCTTTGGAAGCTAACTTGGTTTCTGTGTTTTTTTTTAAAAAAAGGGAGTGAAGATAAGGGATGGCTTTCCCTTATGCAGCATCATCATTATTTAGTGTCATATATTTTTCCAATGCTAATACTTATTAGAATGGAGAGCATAGTGGGTTACAGATGTTTTATTAAATTTAGCACTTTTTTTTGCTTGCCAGCTGAAAAACCTTCCTCAATGGCTTGTAAAGGTCATAAATAAGAACATATCTGCCTATAGGCTTAAAAGGAAGATACAGGTTTACACAACACACTGAGTCACAATTACCTTAACTGATAATGATTTATTAAATAAGATGCTATAACTTGGCTTTAGAAAACCATCAGAAATCATAGTATAGAAATCACAACCAAGAATAAACTAATCACATGTAAATAGCTTCTAGATTAAGTTTTGGAAGGACTAATTCAGCAGATGATGAATCTGGATCTAAGCACAACTGAATTCTCTGCTGGCCTCAGCAATGGCCATTTGTAGCTAGCAGTAGGAAACACTATCAAAACTGATTCACTGGAGCTTGCTTAACTGCCACTTGATACTAGCTCTGATGAAGGTTAATATAAGCTGTGTTGTCATCTAGCAGCAAACACGCATATCTGATATGGCTATTTGCATGTTTTCATATGTTAAGTGATATCTAGTACTTGATTCCTTGTATCTAGCTCAGGGCTGTCAAACTCCCAGCCCATGGGGTGAAAGTCTGGATACATCACATGACACTGCCCTGATGATGCGATTTTGACATCCCTGAATTTCTAGCTATTCCAGATCTAGAAAACAAAGTAGAAGGAAAGATGTAACAGAAGGATCTGCAAACAAAGCTTGATTTTTGCTATTTTTCCCCTCTAACTAATTAACTGTGCTGTTGTGTGCTGTGACATTTTCTATTGGATATTCCAGCATTACTTTATTTAGAATGGTTTCAGCATACATTCAGAACCAATACAGTTCATAATACTTCAGGATTAGAAGAGGCGTTTGCTGTTTCAGGAAAAAGCCTGCATATTCCCAAGTAATGGCATGCCTGACTTCATATGAGAAAAGAAGACCTAGACAGATTTTGTCAGCACTTGTGTGTACTCCCTCTGTGAGTGTATTAAGCATTTACAATTGGCCACAGAGAGGAGTAGAATTTTCCTCACTGTGAGAGGCACAGTTCTCAGTTACAATTTCTGGATGACATGCAGAAGTTTTCTAAGTATGCTTCATTCACTGGTGGCAACTGCATTTACAGCTCATTTATACTTAAATATTGCAGTTTTCCACCTGTGATGATGTAGGTGAAGCAAATAATTTTTCTCAGAAGAAGGAAAACAAACACTATTAATACTTCAGAGCTACTACAAATATCCAATTAATGTCTGGAATACTCTACCTGACTCTGTGGTTTCTTCTCCAAACCCCAAAAACTTTAGCCTTAGACTGTGTACTATTGACCTCACCCCTTTCCTAAGAGGTCTGTAGGGGACGTGCATAAGTGTACCAACGTGCCTACTGTTCCTGTCTTTTTATTTTTATTTTTCTTATATGTATCCATTTCATGTATTCATAACTGTGTTTATACTTATACCTGTTATCTTATAATCACTTGACAAAATAAAAAAATATATTTTGAATATCTAAATTGTTACTCTTTTATGACTTTTTCTGCAATAGTTGGCATTACTGTCAGCTTTTGAAAACTGAGAATACGCTCAGTGATCTTTCAATTTTGCAGTGTTTTTCTGGTGTAATTAATGGGTTAGATTATTTGAGGGGAATAAATCCTATTAACTACAAATAACGTACTAACTAGAAATACACCTGATTTTGGCTACCATCCCTTTGCTACCAACTGTTCTTACAGAGAGAAGAGATAAAATAAAATTGATATTGAAAGGTATAGTCTTTAGTTCCTTAATCCAGTTCTGTAAAAACATATTATTACAGCTACATTTTCAACTTTGAAAGTTAGAAAAGATTCACAACAGAAATTCTGTTATTTTGAAGATTGGTGGATTTCCCTAGGTTTTTAAAAAGTGAATAAAATGGTAAATCAGTTATCAGAACCTTCCTGCCAATGTTATCTGCAGCAGCTTTTCCATACCTTGTGAGGAAAAACTGGTGAATCTTGTTGGAAGAAATATCCATCTGGTTCAGTTCCAAGCCGGGAGAAAGGCACTGGAGACAAAATGGAGGCTGGAGGCGGATTAAAAAGAGGGTCCATTTATTGACAAACAGAACCACATGTTTGTAGTTCTGGTACAGCTGACCACATGGAGTTGATAGTGAAGGGTTTTTATACCTTCTCTAAGCTTTGCACTTGAGCTTCCTGTTCCTGTGCAAGAACACATATTCTATTGGCTGTTGTCAAGGCTCCCATGGTGCCATGTAGTGGTTATGTATGGGTCATAGTGGCTCTATAGCAGGGGTGGGCAAACTTTTTGGCTCGGGGGCCTCATTGACTTTTAAAATTTGACAGACGGGCCGCCACCAGGTGTCGAAATGCCTGTCATTACAAGTCAAAACCAAGTGAATGCAATCATTCAATCATTCACATTAAACCTTAATTCTGTACCAATCTTCGGCGGGCCGGATTAAAAAGACCAACGGGCTGGATGTGGCCCGCGGGCCGTAGTTTGCCCACCCCTGCTCTATAGGCAAAGAAAATCCTAAAGTGTTTGAGCAAAGTTTGGCTGAAGTTTGGAGGGTGATGCAATAATTCCTATTATGGCTTAATGGCTTTGCCCTGTGTTGGCTCTTGGGTAAGAGCTAATCTGCCTCTGTTCAGACTTTGCTGCAGGGAGTAATGGATTACCAAATCTGCATTTCTAAAAATTGCCCCAGCTCCGTATCTGCTTGGGGGGCAGGGAGCTGGGGCTCTCTCCCTTAAGAATATTTCTCTTTTAGGGGAAATATTTTATCCTGCCTTTTTTAATGTTTTCTAAAAAATTTCATTCTTCTAGTAGAGGAATGGGTGCTAACTTTCTACAATCTAAATCCTGGAAAATATACAGGGTGGAAAATATTTTTCTAAAGCATAAACTAATTTTTAAATTATTGAAAATGTTAAAAACTCTCCTACAGTATATATGATAATAGAATAGGAATGGAATAGCACTGTATTATTACATGTAATATATAGTACCAGGAAAAAACATAAGATTAAATAAACTCTTAATTAAAAGAATAAAATTAAGCAGTCTAGTTGTAAATGACATGAATTAGCATGAGTAAAATATGTATCTCTGTATGTTAGATTCTGTGGAAGGTAGAAGGGGCTTAAAAGAAATAGGTCTTTCCAAAAATCTTATTGGTTATTTTTCAAATGCATTAAAGATAGAAATTATAATTCATGTTTGCTGTCTGGTCTCTACACAATATTAAATGGACAATATAATAGTGCATTATCTGAAATTCAGGAAAAGTTGGGGTTTTGCTAGTTAATGAAATAATCTGGGCTCATCATCAGCAAACAAAGATACAAAAATATATAGATTCATTTATACATACATACATACATACATACATACATACACACATACATACAAGTCCAGGTCAAATGAAAATTAAGAATAAACTCTTTTGTTTGAATTGCTACACACTGAGCCATGTTATAGCAAAAATATTTTCTGGGCTAATATGTGCTTTGTACTCTATTCTGCAACTGATTATGGGGATACTTACCATACAGCACAGGGGTGTCAAACTGGCAGCCTGTGGGCCGCATACATCATCCCAGTTCCATGAAGGGAAAAACATCACGTGACAGCAACGTGACGTAGCGAGTTTGACACCCGTGATATAGCAAGACTTTAACGATTACTGAGATGCTATGCGTGAGGCACTCTAAACATACAATGTGCAATATGAAAGCTTAACATCATTGTTATATTTCGTGCAGCCATGTATGTAATATGCATCAGTTGCTTAGATTAAGTATCTGAAATA